CTTTTGTTTCTCCATATAAAGTTGAGAATTGTTCTTTCAAGGTCTGTGAAGAATTGTGTTGGGATTTTGATGGGGATTGCATTGAATCTATAGATTGCTTTTGGCAAGATTGCCATTTTTACTATGTTGATCCTACCTATCCAAGAGCATGAGAGATCTTTCCATTTTCTGGTATTTTTTAATTTTTTCCTCAGAGACTCAAAATTCTTACAGTTCATGTCTTTCACTTTTTTGATTAGTGTTATCCCCAGGTATTTTATGTTGTTTGTGGCAATTGTAAAGGGTGATACTTCTCTGATTTCTTTCTTCACCAATGTGTCATCGGTATATAGTAGAGCTACAGATTTTTTTGAGTTAATCTTGTATCCTGCCACTTTGTTGAAGGTGTTTATCAGCTGTAGGAGTTCCCTGGTAGAGTTTTTCGGGTCACTTATGTAGACTATCATATCATCTGCAAATGGTGAGAATTTTACTTCTTCCTTTCTGATTTGTATTCCCTTGATCTCCTTTTGTTGTCTTATTGCTCTAGCTAGAACTTGAAGTACAATACTGAAGAGGTATGGAGAGAGTGGACAGCCTTGTCTTGTACCTGATTTTAGAGGAATTGGATTGAGTTTCTCTCCATTTAATTTGATGTTGGCTGTCGGCTTGCTGTATATTGCTTTTATAATGTTGAGGTATGTTCCTGTTATCCCTGATTTCTCCAGGACCTTTAACATGAAGGGGTGTTGGATTTTGTGAAAGGCTTTTTGGGCATCATGTGATTTTTTCCCTCAGTCTGTTTATATGGTGGATTATATTGATGGATTTTCGAGAAGGTTCCATGTGATGTTGAGAAAAAGGTATATTGTTTTGTGCTTGGATGGTATATTCTATAGATGTCTGTTAATCCCAATTGGGCCATAACTTCTGTTAGTTCCTTTGTCTCTTTGTTACGTTAATGTCTGGTGGTCCTGTCCAGTGGTGAGAGTGGGGTGTTGAAGTCTCCCACTATAACTGTGTGAGGTCTTATTTGTGATTTGAGTTTTAATAATGTTTCTTTTACAAATGTTGGTACCTTTGTATTTGGGGCATAGATGTTTAGAATTGAGACTTCTTCCTGATGGATTTTTCCTGTGATGAATATGAAATGACCTTCTTCATCTCTTTTGATTGATTTTAGTTTGAAGTCTAACTTGTTAGATACTAGGATAGCTACCCCAGCTCGTTTCTTGGGTGCATTTGATTGGAATATCTTATCCCAACCCTTTACTCTGAGGTAACGTCTGTCTTTGAATTTGAGGTGTGTTTCCTGTATGCAGCAGAAGGATGGATTCTTTCTTTGTATCCAATCTGTTAGCCTGTGTCTTTTTATAGGCGAGTTAAGACCATTAATATTGAGGGAAATTAAGGTCTATTGAGTGTTTATTCTTGTTTGGTTTTGATTTGTTGTTGGTATTGGTATTGTATGTGGATTTACCCTGCTTCTTATTTTGGGTTTTCGAAAAGTGGGATTATCTATTGCCTATGTTTATGTAGAGTGTAGTTAATTTCCTTAGGTTGGAATTTTCCTCCCAGAACTTTCTGTAGGGCTGGATTAGTGGTTACATATTGTTTAAATCTGGTTTTATCATGGAATATCTTGTTTACTCCATTTATAGTGATTGAAAGCTTTGCTGTGTATAGTAGTCTGGGCTGGCATCCGTGTTCTCTCAGAGTTGGTAGAATATCCATCCAGGTCCTTCTGGCTTTCAGAGTTTTCATGGATAAGTCCAGTGTAATTCTGATAGGTTTGCCTTTATATGTTACTTGGCCTTTTTCCTTTACTGCTCTTAATATTCTTTCTTTATTCTGTACGTTTGGAGTTTTAATTATTATGTGATGAGGGGACTTTCTTTTATGGTCCACTCTATTTGGTATTCTGTAGGCTTCTTGTATTTTTATCGGCATGCCTTTCTTTAGGTTGGGAAAGTTTTCTTCTATGATTTTGTTGACTATGTTTTCTGCACCTTTGAGTTGGGTTTCTTCACCTTCTTTTATACCTATTATCCTTAGGTTAGGTCTTTTCACAGTGTCCCATATTTCCTGGATATTTTGGATTAAGGATTTGGGGAACTTAAGATTTTCTTTGCTTGATGAATTTATTTCCTCTAGTTTATCTTCAGTGTCTGAGGTTCTGTCTCCTTCTCTTGTATTCTGTTGGTTATGCTTGCATCTGTGGTTCCTGATTGTTTACTCAGCTTTTCCACTTCCAGCATTCCCTCAGTTTGTGTTTTCTTTATTGTCTCTATTTCAGTTTTCAGGTCTTGAACTGTGTCCTTCAGCTGTTTGATTATATTTCCTTGGCTTTCCTTGATTTCTTGCATCTTTTGGTTTGTCTTTTCTTCCATTCTCTGAAGGATTTTCTCATTTCCTCTCTTAGGGTCTCTATCTTCTGCATGAAGTTGTTTTTAAGGCTGCTCTCTTCTGCTTTATCTGTGTTGGGATGTCCAGGTCTTGCTGGTGTAGAGTACCTAGACTCTGGTGGTATCATATTGGTTTTCCTGCTGTTGGATGTGTTCTTATATTGTCATCTTCCCATCTCTTCTTCCAGTGGGTATAGGTAGTGTCACTTCCTTTCCTGGTGTGTATGGGTCCAGTGTTCTCTTCAGGTGGGTGCAATTGGCACCGATACTCTGATGGGTCAAGGTGAGCTGCTTTGGCCCCAGACTTGGGCCCAACTTCTGCCTGCCCACTCTGGGAAACTTCTGCCCAAGGGGCCGAGTCGACCTGCCTGCAAACCCCAGGACAGGAGTTCCCAGAGTCCAAACATTATTTTATATACTATTGTTATTTAACCTTGCTAAAGGCAAAAGGAGAAAAATAAAGCCCAAAGCTCTTGTAAGCTAGATGAAAATGTTCTAAACAATACACAGCTGACTCTAATGATATAAAACACCATAGCCCTGAGGACCAAGCAACCCAGAGTCTGCTGACATCTCTGTGCCAGTCCAGTCCTGCTCTCCTCCACCTGGAGAGCGAGTGCCTCAGACCTGCCTGCACCCACCATTACTTCAAATTTTTAAAGTGTGTGTAAAGAGACTTGGAATTCAAATCACACAGTGGGAAGGTTGTTGGCTACCATATGTGACAATATAGAAACTGGGCAGCTTTGGAGCCAGGCCCTGGGGGAGCTCGGGTTTCCTCCATCTCATCAAACAGTGTTCAGAGCAAAATGAGAGAGACTGTTTCTTCCTGTGCCTCTCCCTGGTAAGGAGAAACTGTTGTTCCTCCCCCAGAAACCCTTATTCACTTCTCATTGGTTAGCATGGGCTTCAGGCTCTCTTCTGAATCCATCATTAGCCAAGAGATTGGAAAAGTTTTAGAGCAGACATGCTTAGAGCTGGGGATAGAAGCCTGGACCAAACCAGAATTCTTTTCTTTTTTAAAATTAATTTTTTATTCTTCTCTTATAATTACATTTCAACCGCAGTGTCCTCTCCCTCCCCTACCCCACCACCTCCCCTCCACTCTAGATCCACCCCCCATCTCCCCTCAGAAAAGAGCAGGGACACCAACCAAAATCACATAACAAGCTACAATAAGACCAGGCACACACTATCATATCAAGGCTAGACAAGCCAACCCAGTAGGAGGAAAGGGTCCCATAAGCAGGCAGAAGAGTCAGAGACAGTCCCCACTCCCGCTGTCAGGAATCCCCCAAGAACATCAAACTACTTGGCCGTAACATATATGCAGGGAACCTGCAGGTCAGACAGCTACTGGCTCCCTGATCTCTGTGAGCCCTCATGAATCCTGGTCAGTTAGTTATGTGGGTTGTGTTCTCTCTGTTGGTGTCCCTGACCCCTCTGGTTCCTCTGATCCTTCCTGCTCCTGCTCCACAGGACTCTGTGAGCTTTGCCTAATGCAAATAGGAATTCTAACGGGGGAAAGAGAAGAGGCTCAGAGTAGCAACGTCTCACAGACCAGCAGAGTGGTTTTCTGAAGGTTATGCTCATAGCAAAGCATCCCGGCATGGTGCTTTAGAAACATCTCTGAAGTACAGAGCATCACACATTAAAACATATGAGCAGAAAAATAACAAGGAATATTAGTACTGACAATACAAAACTAGCACAAGTCCCAGCGTGCACAGCCATCCACTCTGTGCCTCTGAGAAGCACCTTGAGGACCCAGCTGCCCTCCTGCTCCTCCAGCTCCCGCTTCTGCCTCGCCACCTCCTGCCTCACCTTGGCCAGGTAGCACCTGTAGGCTTCTTGGCGCTCACTGTTGTTACCACTAAGGAGCTCCTGGGCATGAAGGAAGAGGTCATTGCTGTGAAAAGAGCCCTCACACTCCTGCTCCAGCGCCCTCACCTGGGCCATGAGCTCTGCCAGCTGCCCCTGCTGCTCTTCCCCAGAAGCCCTGTTATTAAAGGCACAGTACCTCCTCCCACACTCCTGGACCAGGCTGCGCAGGCTGTGGTTGTCAGTGTGGGTCACAAACTCATCCAAGGTCTCATTGGCCAGGTCTTCCTTGTGGGTGAAAAGGAGGATCATGTGCCTCATGACTCCTGCCCCGAAGATCTCCTTCACCCTCCTGACGGCTATGGTGTCCTGGGCGGTGAAGCGTCCCAGCTGGGTCACCAGCAACAGTACATGGGGTCCCGGGGCACACAGCAGATAGCAGTCTGCAATGTCCTTGTCTTGGTTCTGGGCCTCTGACTCAAAGATGGGTGGTGTGTCTACCACTAGGAAGCTCCTTCCCTTCCATGTGCCCATCTCTGCCTTGCTGGTCCTGGTCACTGACTGGGCTCTGAGCCTGGACTCGAATGCTTGTCGGCAGAGGATGCTGTTCCCTGTGGCGCTTTTCCCACAGCCAGATTTGCCCACCAGGAGGATCCTGAGTGGAGGTGATCCTGGGGTGCAGCCATCTTTCTTTCTGCCTTTGGGAGTAAAGGGAGGCTCGGGTGTGAAAAAATGATTGGTGAAGAAGAAGACAAAACTGACAGGAACTAGTGCAAACCAATCAGTACTCCCTCCCTCTGCTTTAACCACCCCATACCACCACACTCCGGACTTGTGGGATAAAGTGCTTCTGATGGTCAGAGTCCAAGGCGTCTTTCCCCTGGGGATTCACCAATCCAATTTTACCATTCATCAGGACCTTCTTTCTGTCTAGGCATGAAGTGGTAAGCCAATGTAGAATGCTCAGGGTAATCTCCGCCTGGCCATTCTGTTCATCTGTCCCCTTATCTTCATCTCCTCCCACCCTCCCTGGTCTCTGTTTTACACAACTGCAGGTTATTACCTTGGGGAACTTGCCCTTGCTCTGGAGACTCTGACAGTTAATGGCCTAATACGTTCAATTATCTGGTGGCACACTTGCCTTGCTGTAGGTGCCTGGAGGGAGGTTTGTCCCTTTCTAGGCACTGAGCAGTGGTCCTTGACAGTTGAAAACAGTTCCACCCACAGCAGCCTTCTTACCTTCGGGGAAGGTACCTTTCACAACTATCTGAAGAGTTTCCATTTCTTGTTTCTGGAAGGGAAAATATGCGAAGATTTGAATATAATATGCAGCACCAAACACATCATCTTGTAGGAAGGGAAATCAAGCCAAAGAGAAAGAACTGATGGAGTCACACACATACTTACAGGTAGTTCTAAATGACTCAAAGCAGAAAGACCCAAGAAAAGGGTGCATGTCATGTGATCACATGGACATTGTCACCAGGACTTTTCTTCAGCCCACAGGCAGAACGAAAGTGGGCTGTGTACCCACAATAACAGTCACTTCAGCTGGTCAGTTATTTCTACTGAGAACATGGCTGTCTGGGTTCTTTGGGAACCTAGCACTAGAGGCTGCTCTCTACGCCCAGCATCTCCAAGAGACAAATGTAATTCTTCCCTTGTTCCATGGCAGTGGTCCTCCTGCTCTGCCTGGAGCTTAGCTGAGTCCAGACAACAGGGCTTTCTCTGTCCAAACTGGGAAAGGGCTGGGCAAACCAGGACTGGCTGTTCACCCAGGAGTAGGATTCTGTTGTCGGGCCAGGTTGGGGAGTGGTGGGATGTGCCCAGGAAGCAGAGGGAAAGAAAAGCAAAGTCCTGAGGTGACTGACTAGTGTGCTGTGCTCCTGAGGTCACAGTGTCTCTGTTTCCATCTCAGTCCTGGATTGCAGACACCTTGAGGGCATCTCTCTTCCAGGGCCCTTCCTTTCCTCCCTGCATGCTGTTTTTTGCCCCTAGGTGCTGACTACTCTCTCAGGCAGGACTACTCATAGGATGCCTTTGGCCAAGCAACAGGTGGCAGGCAGGTCATGCACCCAAAGTGAGTGCTTCAAACCGCTGCTGTCTCCAGATCCAGCCTGATCAAAAAGAGGAACAAAAGCAAGGGCCGGAGCTTTCTTTAGGTTTGAGACTGTCTCAAATGCTTACACATTTCCCTCTCCCGTGCTTCCTCTAGTGGGAACCCACACTCCTTCAGTAAAATGACTGTCACCTTTTCTGTCCCCTTTGGGGTATCTTATTTTAAGCCACCACCCTCTTGGGACAGCACTGTGCCCTCAGCCAGCCCACTGGGAGCCAGCCATCCACCAGCCCCACCCACCTCACAGCCATCAGCTCTGCCACTCATTTTTAAGTAGTTGGTGGAAGGATCGGTGGGTGTGCAGCAGGTATTTCCTGCCCCTGGTTGGACCTCAGAGCTAGCAAAAGTGGAAGAGCTTCCCCATGCCCCTCCGAGGATGCACTCCATGGCATTGTGCAGGACTGGAAGAGACTAGAGAAGAGATCAGGTGCAGGCCACGCTTGGAAACACTGTGGAAATGTCATAAACATTGGCCTTGAGTAGATTATCTTAGTCTCATCGGGCAACAGTAATTATACCATTCTTTCCCATATCCTTTACCACAGTACCTTAAAAACATGGTCAGAAAATCATGGCATGCTATTATGAAGATAAACTAGGGTGCAAGTGTCATGGGGGTCATTTCCAAGAACAGTCTTTACTGCCTATAACTTCATTCTGGTTGCTTTGACTGATTTTTTAGTATTACTTCATCCAAAACACAAAAAACAAATGCTTTATGTGAACAGATCAACCCAAGTGGCAACCTGACATCCATCTCCATCTTTAAAATGAAAGCCATTTCCCTCATGTCCATCACTATGAATAGAAAAAGGAAAGTAATGGGAAAGAAATAAGATTAAAACTCTAGGGGATGGGAGATGGGACAAGCCAGTCCAGCCAATTGGTGAGCACCAGATTCAGTAAGACCTTGTTTCAATAGACATCTGCCGAGTAGAGTTTGTGTTCTCAGAACCCACCTAAGAGATGAGTGTAACTGGGTTCATCCAAGGCCCTGGCACTGGAGGGAGGAAGTGACACAGGGGCAGGCAAATCCTTGGGGCTCATCTAGATCCCTCTAGCCAATCCAGCCAACCAAGTGAGACCCTGTCTCAAAAACTCAGGTGGAGAGCAATAGAAGACAATATGAGATGCTCCTTGCTCTCCTACAGCGATAGAGGAAGATATGAGAAGCCCCTTTGCTCTCCTGCGGTGAGGACGCAAGGCTATGGAGCAGAAGCTTCAGGGCAGTTCTTACCCATGGATGGGCTCCTGAACCTGACTGGATGAAGTAAATGGTCCTAAGGGGGGTTGGGGTTCCTTCTGGATGATCAGTAGTGTGAGAACTTCAATCACTCGTGAGACCAATGCTCCATCTTTCTGCCCCAACACTAATTTCTCAGGCCACAGGAAGTATGGATACCCTGCCAAGAAGAGTGGATTCCCTCCAGCTGGCTCCTCTCTAGCCTCCAGACACTTAACACAGCCTGGCTGGGCAGCCATGGAGAAATTACTTAAGGAAGTTTGCCCATTCCTCTCCCTCCTTGGAAACTCCTGGCAGGAAACAGAATCTCTAAGAGTCCCCCTCCCCTGAGTCCCAAGTGGGGTATTAGGCTTGTCAGCTTGAGAGAGAAAAATTCACTCATGCTCCACAGACAGGCTAAAAGCCCTCAGGGCACAAGATGCTGTGGCCTCCACAACTCTTCCTAAAGTTAGTAAAGAGATCAAGTGTCTTGCCCTTCAGGTTGACACTAATTGTTACTGGTAGAGTCAAGGGTAAGCAGTGGAGAGGCATACACACACACACACACACACACACACACACACACACACACAAGCCCTGTTACCTGGTGGACGCTGGAGGATCTTTTGATTCAAGGTCTACACACTTTGGAGCACCTTCCTGTCCTAGGCAGCCTCTCACACTGGGTTTTAATGTCTTCATGAAAATACAAGAGCTATGAAAGGAGCTCACAAAATCTGTTTGCCAGGAGGAGGAAGAGATGTCCAGGGGAGCACAGGAAAGAGTGATGTTTCTAGGCAAAGCAGTGCTCAGAGGGCGACTGAAGAGAGCAGCAAGAGGAAGAGGTTGATTTAAAAAAAAATGAATAAAAACCAGTTCTCTTTCCTGCCCCACCCTCACTGCCAGCACTACTGAGATGATTTTGTGAAGAATACGTTCTCTACAGGACTAAGAGAATAGAGAAGCCCTGAGGCATGGCACTCCAAGCCTCTAGCTTCTCCCCTCTGGGCCAGGCACACAGCAGGCCTCTCCCCAGCACCTACTATTCCTGTCTAAAGTGGCTCTCCAGGGTCCGCTGGGCAAACCAGCAGGCAACATGCTAGAGCCAGGCGATGCTACCCTGGCTTCTGGGGAGAATGTGGGAGGTCAAAGCTTAGATTTTTCTCACCTGGGCAGATCTCATCTCCTCAGAACCCATGGAGCTAACTACCCAAGCAAAGGTCTGACTTAGGCAAAGCAACAAGCACCTGCTGGGCTCAGGGTTGCAAGGGGTGAGCCAGGTCTCCTCTCTGGAGAGCCTTTCTGGTGACCCATTTCCTTGAGTTCAGATAATTGTTTTTATTCATTTGTTTTTATTTTCTGTGTATGAGAGCTTTACCTACATGTATGCAAGTGCCCTTTGTACATGCCTAGTGCTTGTAGAAGCCAGAGAGGCCTGCTGGATCCCCTGGAACTGGAATTATTGATAATGGTAGGGCTTTTTAAACTACTGAGCCATCCCTCCAATCCCAAGTTCAGATAATTTAAGAAAGTCTACGGAGGAAAGTGGGACATGAGTAACACATAAAAATAGCATTTTGCAGGGAAAGCCAGGCTTGACTTCCACAAACCTTCTATGATACAACTTTAACTTTTGAGGTAGTAGTGGTATTACATTGAGTGAGGTGAGGGCCTTTGAATAGAAGGCATTTCTCCTTTTAGCTACCGAAGTGTTTATCTAACTATTCTTTATCAATAAAACTCAGGAGTCGGATATCAGGGTAAGAACCTCAATGACCAGAGAAGCGGCTGAGAAGTGACCAGTGACCTCCTCTCTCTTTCCTTCCTTGATCCAAAAGATGCCAGAATCTCCTAAGCCCCTCCCCACTACTTCCTGTGTCTATCTGTCCTCCTTCCTCCAAAACCCCTATGGCTAATTTGGTCAGCTAGCTCTGCCCTCCGATTCTAAGCGGACTCTGTTGTTAGTCTCAAGGAAGTTAGAGTGAGATCAAAATAACCCACAACAAGCTGCAGAGTGTCTTCTTTTTGCCAATCAATAAACATCAGCTCTAAAATAGAAATAATATACACGGGTGCGTCATGAACATGTTCCACCCAAGGCCAGCTTTCAAAGCTGACTCTGCGGGTATTTTATAAATACTCCATACACAAGAAAGGCAAGCTGCTGAAGGTTTTGGAGCTTCCACTGGGCCTGACAGAGAAGGTATGTTCTGCAGCCTTAACACCTGCAGGCTAATCCTTATGTGTCCGAGCCACAGAGAGAAGCCTGTGGAACGTGAGCCACAGCTGTCTGTACATTAGGGAAAAGGCAACGTGAAAGAAGCCTCCAACCCAGGCCTTTGCTGCTCTCAGGACTCACAGGAAATGACATCTACTTGGGCCTGATAAATGGATGCCTTTACTCCTGCATGTTCATGTTCATAGCTGGGTTTTTTCCCCCATTAAATTACAGGCATTTTCTGGTTGGTTCCTGAAAGTCCTGTGGTTTTTGTTTTTTGTGTTTTTTTATAGGAGTAAATATTATCTACCCCAGGTCTGAAAGCCCTGTGTTTTATAGGAGTAAATATTATCTGCCCCAGGTCCTGCCTATCCAGTCCTCTACAGCTCCCTTTCTTCCTTGCAGTCAAAGCCTGTGGCTGTTTGGAACTCTTTCTTGGTCATTGTTCACTGCAGAATTCTGGTGCCGGCCTTCAAAGCAAAGGTATATTCTGTTGCAAAGGAGCTGTCTGCAGGGTGGAATAGAAACCAGGCCCCTGCAGCCACAGAGCAAAACAGCACAAATCACTTCTATGAGAGCCTGGAGCTCAAAACTGTAGCTCTATGTCATGGAAATAGCCCTTTCCCCCAACCACACTGTTGTGGCTGTTTCTTTGACAGTGTGTCCTTACAAGTTTAACATAAGATTTCTAGACAAATCCCGAGAGAACTGATTATCTATCCG